AGGAGAACTCATAAAGCGGCTCACCAGTCCCACAGCATGAGCGATATCAGGTCTGGAGCCAACCATCGCATACATGACACTTCCGACTGCGCTGCAATAAGGTATGTTCCTCATTCTGTACTCAGTCTCAGCCTTAGCTTCTTTACTTGTGCTAGAGAGCTTAAAATGACACCCCATTGGTGTTTGTACTAACTTAGGATCAGTCACACCAAAAGTCCTTAAGATTTTATCAATATAAGTTTCTTGAGATAGAATTAGAGTACCTTTCTCCCTATTTCTGATAATATCCATGCCTAGGATCCTCTTAGCTGGCCCGAGATCCTTCATTTCAAACTCCTTTCCCAACATTTCCTTTACCTTCTCTACCTCATGTAGATCTTTAGCTGCTACCAGCATATCATCCACATATAGGAGTAGGTAAACATACTTCTCTTCACCATACTTTCTGAAATACACACATGTGTCAAACTGACTTCTTGTAAACTTTTGTGCTTTCATGAACTTATCAAACCTCAAATTCCACTGCCTTGGAGACTGCTTTAGACCATACAAAGATTTTTGTAGTAGGCACACCTTGTCATCTTTAGCATACCCCTCAGGTTGTTCCATGAGTATCCTCTCTTCCAAGTTTCCATTCAAGAAGGCTGTTTTCACATCCAACTGTTCAAGTTCGAAGTCCTGATCTACCACAATAGCCAACATCAGCCGTATTGTAGTATGTTTAACCACTGGTGAGAAAACCTCATTATAATCAATCCCTTCTACTTGAGCATACCCCTTTGCAACCAACCTTGCCTTAAATCTTGGTTCCTCAACTCCACTTATTCCTGGTTTGAGTTTGAAAACCCACTTGCACCCAATAACTTTCTGTCCGTCTGGTCTCTCTATCAATCTCCAAGTTTGATTCTTATCATGTGATGACATTTCTTCATCTGTAGCTTCTTCCCATTTCTCTTTCTCTCTGCCATTCATGGCTTCTTTAAATGATCTAGGTTCTTCAACCTCAAATAATTCAGCCATAGTCAGAGCATAAGCAGCCACATCTCCATCATCGAATCTACTTGGAGGTTTAATAGTTCTTCTTTCTCTATCTCTAGCCAAAAGATATGTATTCAGGTTTGGTGAAGAACTTTCTGATTCAGACCTTTGTTCTGAACTTTCTGAGCTTTCTCCAGCTGTTGTTTCTGAGATAGCTCCACCTCCAGCTGAAGATTCTCCCTCTTCCCTTACAACAACATTTTCATTTCTGTCACTTGGTAGAATAACATTCACCTTTTCTTTTCCTTTATCAACTGATTCCTTTGACAGCTTTCCAATGTCCTTATAAAGAGTATCCTCCCAAAATGTTACATCTCGGCTGATGACACATTTCTTTTCTTCATAACTCCAGATTCTGTAACCTTTAACTCCTTGAGGATAGCCCATGAAAACTCCTTTCTTGGCTCTGGGTTTTAACTTTCCTTGATCAGCATGATAATACACAAGATAACCAAACCTCTTCATATGTCCATAGTCTGGTTTTGAACCTGTCCAAACTTCTTCTGGAACTTCAAAGTTCAGAGGAG